AGAGGGACCCAGTCTCGGGGCTGCAGCCATGAGGTGGGGCGGGCTGCCCGGCCACAGCACCGTATGCCCTGGCACGAAGTGCACTGCCAGGCCCGGGGTTGGCTGGGGGCCTGGGGACCCGGCCCTGCTGCAGGCATCCCAGCTGTCCCTTCAGCGCTGGGGCGGATTACGGGACCAGTCAAGCTAGGAAAAGCCCGGGAGCATGGGCCCTGGGTGCATGAGCCCCTTGTAGCCACTGAGGGGAAAAGAAATACAGGGAACCGCCCTCTCTCCAGTTCTCCTGCCCTCACCTCTCTTCTGTCCACTATTCCATGGATGCCTGGCTAAGACTTAAGGGGAAGGGACCACAGCATCCGGATCTGCACCCTGCTAGTGGGCCCAGACGCCCAGGCCTTGACACTGGCCATCTTGCCCACGTGTCGTGCCAGGGGCCAGGGGATGCTAACTTCTGTCTAGGGGATTACAGAGGTCAGGGCGGAGTCCTAGGGGAGGGAACAGCTGGTCCCAAGGAGCCTGGTGTGGCCTAAGACCCAGGAGTGTTTGCCAAGAGGCAGTTGAGACTCTTCTCCTCGGTCCTTGTCACAGCATCCTACCCTCTGGGTAACCTGCAGATGGCCTGTGGATTCAGCTGGCTCCCTGAGTATTTCCTGGGCTTCCGGGCACTGCTGAGACTCTGCTGTATGAAAAGCTTCCATCTCCAAGGCCTGAACATCCTCCTGTCCACCCTGGTGAGGTTGACCGGGTCACTCAGGGAGAGCCAGGCCTCTGCAGAGCTCCCTGCTCCGTTCCCCATTTGTTCTGCAAAACTGAAACCGGATTTCCTGAGCGGGAGCCCCCGGTCACCCTGCCCTTCTCTGTTACACACTGCAGGTCACCATCACGGCTTTGCCTGGCTCCAGCTTCGGCCGGGGATGCTGCCAAGGCCAGCACAGTGCTCCCAGGCAGCCACTGCCAAGGTGCAGATGCCTGCTGACCCAGAACCACCTCTGGGAATAGCTCCTGACGTTCGTCAGCCAGGGTAGCTGCCAAGCACCCTGTCACCACTGGGGCAGGGCCTGGGTAAGGTCAAGGTTTGCATGCCAAGGGTTCCAGAAGGCTGTCCAGGGCACGTCCTGCAGCCAGTAACAAGGGGAAGCCAGAGGTGAGACAGCAGAATGGGTACTGTGGGTGGGTAGGGTACCTGTAGAGTCAGGGCACAGAGTCCGCTTGGCCCAGACCTTAACCCCCAGGGCCACTGAGGTCTGGCATGGCTCTGTGAGGGCCACCTCTGCAGCCGCCCTGATGCTGCAGGTCCTATGTCCTGCGCAGAGCTCAGGCTGGGCTGAGACATGCCCAGGAGGCCAGGGAGGAAACAGCAGGTGTTGCTTGGGGTCCAGAGTGGGATGCTCGGCTTCTGGGGACCTGTTTAGCTATTCTGCTACCTGGGCAGGAGTGACAGCCGCAGCCCAGATCCCAGACTTCACTTCTGCCCAGGGAGGACCTGCAATCCAGGGTGGGCCCGGCCCACGGCCACACATGGGCGATCCAGTGACACATTCGTCAGCCTGTGGCATTCTAGGTGAACCGATCGCCATTCTTACCGTCCAATGACAGCCAGTCGTGCTGGGAGGAAGGGAGCGTGGGCAGAGCCCGAGCTTTGTACTCAAACACCACCGAGTTGGAGATGATCTGGTTGTTGAAGGCAACTTGTAGAGTCACAAGACCCGTGTCGTGGGCTGAAAGTGAAAGACAGAGAGGTCAGAGATCTCTGTCCTAGCTGTGCCCCTCGGTCCTCTGGGCCCCCGAAGCAACACTCCCCCAGAAGCCTCCTGTGGCCCCCAGGCCTAGGTGCCTGCGATGTTCCCAGGGGACCCCCTGTTGTAACTGCCAGCTTGCTTCTCCACTCTCTGTGAGGGCAGGGATGGCCCAGCCCCTGGGCCCATGAGGACGGGATGAATGAGTGATGCCTCGCCCCTCCCCGGGCTGGCCGACCAATCACGAGCCCATCTGTCGCAGGCAAGGGCAGGCATGCTGGCTTTGGGCAGTGCCGCACTGATTTCTGGAGCGGAGGGCCTGCCCACGACAGATTTCCAGGGAGGACTGACGAATGGGGATCTTGTTACCGTTCGGGCTCTTGGTTTCAGAGCATGAGGACTCTGGCCAAGTCAGCTGCTTCTCGGCCGGGTAAAGCTCTGCTCCCCTTTGAGGATGCCCGCAGACTCCACTTCCGACGGGAAAGCCACCTCACTGATGCTGGCTTCCATCCAGCCCAGGTTCCCATAGTAAGGCAGCACTCATGTTCCCCTCTGCTTCCTGCCCTGGCTGCTTCTGTCAGCTCCAGGCCATGAGTGGGACCCACAGGCGCTGTGGCAGGGGTCACGAGGGACCTCCTGCAGTGGGGCCCTGGCCTAGTCCAGAACTTCCCATGGATTTGACAGTGTCCCAGCAGATCTCCAAGCTCAAGGTCACCCATCTCCCATAGAGATCCGCCTGGCCAACCAACAAGGAGGAAGGCTGTTCGCAGGCCTCCCCATGCACCTGCTCAGCCTGTGCTACGCGGGTCCCAGGGGGGCTGAAGACTCTGGTGCCAGATGTCCCTGCTCAGGGCCCCTCCCAGGCATCTGCCCTGCACCTGCACTTTGCAGGAAGGCTGGGTGGCAGCAGCTTACAATCCAGCGACATCTGTTCTGCCTCCACTGCTGCCACTCTTGTCCAATCCATGTGTGTTTTGCCTCTTGCTGAAGGTAACACCAGCCCTGTAATCTGTCTACCCGCTGGGAAGGTTGGGGACCGTCTCACAGTACCTCTTCCGGAAAGCAGTGGGAATAGGTGGCCGGAAGGAGCCTTCTTGTCATCAAAGAGTAGCCTCGGTCCATCTACCTTTCGGTGACCTTCTAGGAACCCAGGATGGGTGTCCAGCCAGTGGAGTCCCGTTGTAGTTTGCCCTATCTTCTCTCGAGTCCTTTGCCTCCTTCCCTCACGTGTGCCTGTCCGTCCCGGCCCTGGGGCAGCCCTGGAGCCCTTGGCAGAGTCCATGCCTGTATCCCCTGCTGCTGCTGGTGTAGCAACTGCCTGTCCAGAGCCCTGTCCCCAGCGGGTCTGTGTGGCTTGGGCAGGTGAACTTGGGCGGCCTGTCTGCCCTCCCTGTACCCCATCTTGCATCATTCCCCGTCCCGAAGTTGGCCTAGCTGTGCTCCCCAGCCTCTGAGCCCTCTTTATGGCGAGGCGAGGCCCCAGCTTATTCCCTGCAGAGAAGACTGAGACCAGGTCCCCAAGCAGTCAGCAGCACCTCTCAGGACAGTGGCTGGACTGCACCAGCCCTGCTCCCTGGACTGGGTGCTCTTTGGGGGTCAGGGTCCCAGTTAGGGGCTGGGCCTTATTCTTTGCATCATTCCAGGCACCTAACAGTGCACGGGACAGAACCCATTTGGCAAATAAGGAAATGAATGCATGCATGAATAAACACACCTGGAGCAATGCCTCCATTTGGGCCTCTAGACAGAAATGTCCAAAGGGGACGCCCTCTGCAGGACCCACTCTGCTGTGAAACAGGCTGGAGTCCCAGCAGAGGGCGCCTGGCGTTCAGGCCCCCTGGAGCCTTGTGGCTTCTGGTCTGAGACACATTCCCTTAGAGGAACCCAGGCGACCTGGAAGAGGCAGCAGCTCGAGCAGAGAGGCTGCTCCCCAGCCCTGGGCCCCAGAAGTGCCTCAGGCCAGTACTGCCTGAGCCCTGGCTCTCTGCTCGCTCTGCCCTTGGACAGAAGAGTGAAGATATCATGGCTGGCCGGGGCCTTCAGAATCCAGCTCTCAAGTCAGGTGCCTCACAAGCTCTCTCCTCCGATGCTCTCATTAAAGACACAGAAACTGAGGCCCCAGATGGGCAACCTCCAGCTAAAGCCACACGGACCAGACAGCATTTGGCTGGCTGGGACACATGCAGAGGTGACCAGCTCCAGGCCCCGGGATTCTCCAGGTCTGACCTGGGACATCGTCCAGAAGGCAAGACCTTTATTTATTTATTTATTTATTAATTTCCTGGAGGGATCGGGTAACTGAGGACAGGCAAGGTCTGGGTCTTCAGCCAGGCCAGGAGCAGGGACAGGAAATGGCATCTATTTAGAGGCCCAAGCGAGTCCCTGTCCAGCAGCAAGTGGTAAGTGAACAGTTCAATAACATGCTGTCCTCTCTCGGGCATGCTGACAGACTGACCTGGCCTGGGCTGGCATGTAGGGTGGCTGCTGGGAAGACGGGGCTGGCTGGGCTGTGGGGAGCCAGCAGGTGACCTGTGTGGGGGAGGTTCAGCAAGGGGGAGGTCGCTGCTGGCTTCTGGCTGCCTTAGGACACAGACATGGACACCCAGCTAAGCAGATGATAAGCCTTAGGGTAATGGGGAGCAGGTCAGATCCGCGGGGGACAATACAGAGGGGTCCTGGGGCTTCCTTAGGGGGCCACTGAGGCCTCGACACTGGAATCAAATGGTGTTGGCCAACCGAGCCTTCTTCTGGGTGGGTGCTGGAATTCTCAGAGACCGTGGGCTTTATTCTTAGCCTGACATTTGCAGTCCCTACAGTTCCTGCCCTGGGCCATGACTCTGCACACCTCCATCAGGTCCCAGAGGGGCTTCCACTGGGCCAGTCCAGGGTGTGTCCACTGGCTCACTGGTTCTAGAAACTGTCCCCTCCTCACGCTTCCTTAAGATCCCAGCGGAGCACACCTGGTGCTCCTGGCTGGTACGGGGTCACCCCACAGCAGTTCAGGGGAAGGAGGGGTTTCTCACCTGGGCAGTAGCAGCGCAGCACCCCGGGCTGAATCAGGGACGCAGGCACTGAGATTTGGTCGAACAGGCAGCTGTAGTTATTGCTGGCTTCTTGCCACGGGCCCGTGATGAGGACCTTCACTCCTCCCTGGAGGGGACAGAGGGCGATAGAGATGGAGCAAAAGCCACCAAGAAGGGACATGGTTCAGGGAAGGTCCCGGTAGCCCTGTGCTCAGATTGAGGGAAGCTGAAACATGCAGATTTCCAGGCCATAGCCACACGGATTCAGAGGAGGTGCCTGGGAGTTTGAGAGTCACTTTGAGGACCACAACAAGAGGACAGGCAGGCAGCTGTCCAATTCTGACCCTAAGGAGCCCCTACAGCCTTCCTGGGGACACTCAACAGCCAACACCCTGACCCTGGCAATCCCAAGTTCCAGGCAGCAGGGAACAATTTTTTGACCTTTTCAGCCCAAGATGCACCCAAGGACTGGCCAGCCCAGGAAGGAAGCAGAGGGGACAGAGAAGACCTCCAATCATTCACTTGGGACATGGAGTGAACTCCCAAATTCAGAGAACAGGTCTGAGAATCCTAGTGTCACCCCAGGAGAATGTAGGGGACCCCCACCCCCACCCCTAGGGCCATGCTGGCATGTGGCAAGGGGAGGGTGGATGGGAAGGGAAACCACAAACAGGAAGATGGGGCGAAGGGCTCAGAGTTCAGAGGCGCAGAGACTGGTCCAAGCGGTGTCTGGGGGCGGGTGGGGGCTGAGCCCCGGGTCGTGCGCGCGCAGCGCAGGTAGACAGGGCCTCGCGGGCGCGCGCACAGCGCCCCTCCAGCCCGGCCCCCCGGATCCCAGCGCCCAGCTGGGAGCGCATCGAACCTCCTGCTGGGCCAGGAGCGCGAGGCCTCAGGTCCTAGCAGCGCAGCCCGGTGCAGGGCCGGCCCGTGCTGAGCAGCGCCGCCGCTCTCGGCCGAGCCTTGGGCACACGAGGCGCTCGCGGGGCCCCCTACTTACGGTCACTCGGGGCGGAGGGAGGTTCTCCCCCGGGATGCAGGGGCGGGGGCGCTGGCCTCTGGCTCTCCTGGCTAACCTTGGGTGGACCCACCCCAGAGGCTCGGCCACCCCACCCCCAAACAAGTAAACACCTTTCCCCGCAGGGGGGCGGAGAGCTGTGCTGGCCAGGGCGGAGAGCGCCACCTGGCGTCCAGGCTGCAGAAGGCCGAGAGGCGCTGCCGGAGGCCAGCCCCGCGGAACTCCCCTGCCCCCCTACTCTTGGGCAAGAGGGCCAGAGCCTAGCTTCTCCACTGCCGCCCTGGGCCAGCTGGACCCTCTTCAATGAATTAATTAGTTCTTGTTCGGCCTGTCCTCGGCTTTGCCTATCTTGCCCTGCCGGGAGCCCCACAGCTTGCACGCAGATCTTGCTCCCCACAATGTGCCCAAACCTACCCCTGGCCCAGCATTGGCCCCTTGGGCATCAGGAGCAGCTGCGGGTGTTTCCAGGGCTGAGGGGAACTTACTTCCTCAGACTGCAGGGCTCCCCCTGCTCTGGGGCCTCCTCGGAGCTGGCATGCTTTGCGGAGGCCCCTTTACTGGTAGGTGACCAAGGTCGGGGGCAGCTGGGAGAGCTCAGGCCTGGGGGGTCTCCGGGCAAGTGGTCCAACCCCTCTGGGTGGAAATAGATCTCTGCTTGGCTCCACGGGGGGATGTGGGGTTCTGTAGAGGTGGAAGGATGGGGAGCTGCACACTCATGCCCGGCTGGGACGCCCAGAAGCACCAGAAGGCCAGCTCGGGCATGATCTCCCGGGACCCTGTGGAGCGAAGAGCGTGGCTTCAAAAGGCCACCGTCAATTACCATGGGAGAAAAAAGGGAAAAAATATAATAACCCCAGTCTGCAGCTGCTAGCATGACGCTGGGACTGCTGTGGGGGAACCAAGGTTTGCAGAAATCACTGGTGAGCATCAGGACCTTTGCCATGGAAACCGCCACAGCAGGACGCCTCAGCATCCCTCGGTTCAGGGCATGGCTCCCATGGCAACCGCAGCGGGGCTGTGCTGCTTGGTTGTGATGCGTGCATCCCTGAGGGCTCTAATTGCAGCCTCCTGCGCTGGGTGCCACAGGAGCAGTGGTGGGAAGTGACACAGGAGCATGGGCACAGGGGGCAGCGGCAGCTGGCGTCAGGTCTCTGCACCTGGTAGCGCCGAGTTGAAGGCCCAGTTTCTGATGCAGCCAGGGCAGATGCCGGGGAAGTGGGGGGCATCTCTGGGTGTGTGTGCACACACAAGTGTGACCAGCTGTAGCTGGAGGTGAAGAGGTGGCAGAGCATAGGCAAAAACAGGAGAAGCCATGGGAGGGAGAGACGCAGGGCGGCCCAGCGTGGTGTCCCCGTTATGTGGATGCCTGGGGACCGCTGTGGCTTAGAGCTGTTGGGGACACAGAGCAGCCACTTAGCCTGAGCCTGGTTTGCAGACTAGGAAGTGAGGCCCCAGCTGCCTGCCCTGGGCAGGGCCCTCCCTGAGCTTGGACGCCTGGCTGGGGGGCTCCTGATGCACTGGCAGCCTTCTGCCTGCTGCAGAAGGGATGGATGCTGTGAGGGGACACACTTGTCAGGCAGAAGGCGCTGTCTCTCGGAGACCAGAGGACAGGTTGACCGGCATCAGTGTCCTTGGGAGGAGTGTGGTGAGGAGGAAGTGGCTGTCAGAGCCCCTGGGACCTTGAAGACCTAATCACATGGCTGCAGCAGGTCCCTGAGGACCATTTTCCAAATCAAACTGACTTACAGCTGCTTTTGAGTCTAGGTTGAAGGAACCCTCCAGTGTTTCTGGAAAACCAGGGTTGCATGTGGGTGAAAGCTGCTGCTTTTACCATGCCTGACTCGCCCTCTTGTGGCAAGATGAGGAACTGCCTCTCCAAGACCGGATGTGCAGCTGGTGTAAGACTGGAAGGAGCGAAGTCGTTCTCAGCCAGGAAGGAGCCAGGGGCCGGGAAGGAGGACCCTTGCAGGACGTGAGCCAGGGAGTCTCTGAGGGCCCCTGATCCTAGGACTTGTCGTACCCCTGGTCCATACCCTCACAGCTGTGTCACACAGATCAGAGGACAGGGCTGGCCTTCCCTCCCTCCTGAGCCCTTCACATTGTGTCCGTGAGCCTCGTGAGGGGCGAGCTACCACAAGCTAACATTATTGTTCCAGTTTTAGAGTGAGGAAAGGCAAGCTACTTGTCCACGGTCACAGACGAGATTTGAATCCAGACCACTTGGCCCCACCACCAGTCCTGACTGTAAGCATGTGGCGGCCTCTCTCCATTCTTTTTTTTTTTTTTTTTTTTTTT